CAATAAAAAAATATATATTAAGTATAGATTCTTCGTATTCTACGTAACTTAATACTTCAAATGTCACGGTTTTCATTGCTATATACCATATATCTTCAACAAAACCTAATGAAATTCTGCCTCATTGCCTCACTTCAATTTAACAAGATTATTTTGATAGGCATTACAATAAAATGTTAGAGGGTACCGGCTTAAAGCTCGCCCACTGTATTACAACGTTAAAGAGGAAGTGTTATTTCGTATTTCATGTTCATACACATACATACATATAAGTAAATATTACTTTGCTTATGAATATTATGAAAAATCAACGACACGTTTGGCTCAGTTTGTAGTGACCCTACTTCCTGTGCCAGCGGTCGCGGGTTCGAGTCCCGCTAGGGGCATTTAATTGTATGATGAGCATTGAAATTGTTTTTTACTCCAGTCATGGGTGTTTAATGTTTATATTTGTAATATGTATGTATTTAAAGTTATATATGTGAAGTGTATCAAGTATCTGGTCGTAAGCCTCGTAGCTTATCATGGAACTAGATGGTGCTGTGTGTTAATGAGTGTAAGAAAAAAAAAAGTAAATATTATATTTAATCTTTAACATTTACGACGAGTATAAAAATAACAAAGGTTATATAATATCCATACTAACATAATAAATGAGAAAGCTCAGTCTGTCTGTTTGTTACATCGTCACGCTTAAACCGCTAAACCGATTTTGATGAGAACGTAGATTATATCATGGGGATGTACAGAGGGCTTTTTTAGCCTATATGTGGTTTCTTACTTTTATATATATTTTGACTTTTTTAAATTATTTCCTTATTATCTTACACTCTGCTGCTCAGCTATGTGATAATCTTTCTGACAGCCATAGATTGACCAAAAGAGATCTGTGTTAGAGATAAGTCTATCTTTGCCCTCAACTAGGTAAAAACCTAATGTACTATTTTTTATGTGCAATAAAGAATATATAAAAAATATAGTTAACTAGTGGCTTAGCCTTGCTTTCCTCGGGTTCACCTCTAGAAAAACATAAACAAATCTATCCCAAGAGAACCGTACATTTTTCCGGGATAAAAAAGCTTATCTGCTATTTCAGACTATACTCTATCTCTGTGCCAAAATTCATCCAGATCCGTACAGCGGTTCTGGCGTGATAGAGTAACAAAGAACCATCCAAACATCTAAACTTTCACATCTATATATATAATAATATTGTAACTAAGCCGAATCTGTACATTAAATACTTTTTGGAAAATCTTATTGAAATAAACATTATTGATTATACTAGAGGGATTTTGATGAAATTTGGTATGGTTATAGCTGGTTATCCGGGTCAACATATAGGATATTTTTTTACCGGGGGAAAATGTCTCATTTCTGAGAAAAAATACAAAAACTGCAATGTAAAGAGTATACTAATAAACCTAAGATTTTGGTTTTTGGTTATCTGAACGCGGGCGAAGCCACGGGCAATGCTCGTTTATAATATGATTAACTTTTATTTTGTACAAACTTTGAATTCAATATTGCCAAAAGTTATCATATCATAAAAACTGGATGATAACAAACGACGAAAGTTCAACACATGTTTCTGAACTTATCTCATATGGTCACAGAATTTGCTATAGTTGATGGATCTTTTTGATTTCATTTTATAAAGCTTTTCTGTGTTCTAGTTTTAGCGAACTTTTTCGCACGTGTGTAAGATATTAAATGACTTTACAAAAAGCTGTCATTTTATTTGAGTTGATGCGTGTATAGCATACAATTCGTTTCGATCGTATTATCTTTGAAGCACGATCGAATCGAAATATAAAGAATAGTTTATATATTCGTATGTAAATTATTTGCATGTTTAAAATATTTACACTTAAATGCATTTGATATATCCATACTTATCTATACTAATATTATAAATGTTAAAGTGTGTTTGTTTGTCCTTCTTTTACGTTGGAACAGAGTGACGGATTGGCGTGATTTAGTGTGAAGATATTTAGAGGGCTGGAGAGTGACATAGGCTACTTTTAACCGCGGGAGATCATCTCATTTCCACGGTAAAACACGTTGTAATAAAATCCACAACAACTCATCACACCTTTGTATAGTGTATATATATAATATATCTGTCTATCTATTCCATACAAAACGTTAAAACGTGCCAAGGGAAGCGAGAGCGAACCGCTAGTTACAATTTATAAGCTAAGGTGACCTTAACTCTAACAGAGATCTCTCCCAGCACTTCTATGGTACAGTAATTACTTATTAAGTATTTTTTATTATATTCAAGTGATTTTACTAAATTGATTCACAACATAACACACTATACTCATGTCGATGGGTTGACTGGATATAATTTTCTAATGATTTCTGAGCAAAATTTACCTTTGCTAATATATTTAAATACACTCGCAAACACAAATAATACATTAGGGTACGAAAATAAACATTTAAAGATATGAGTATTTTATATTTGTTTTAGAACCAGTTAACTCTCGCTTTATATGACTCATAATACGGGTTAGAGCTGCTCAATTAACGTTGTTAACCTAGTTTCATTAGATATTTAATTATTTATTTGTAAAAGGCACACTTACAACATACATATGAAACATTTTCAATTTAATTAATGTAATAATAATAAACCTTATATGTATGTCAATTATAAGTGTACATAGCATTTAAATATTCATGTATTAAAAGTACAAAATTTAAAAAATAATAATAATTATTATTATAGATAAATGTCATAACACAAGATACAGATATGTTTTTTTATTATCTTTACAATACGTATATTTATCTCTTAAAAGTCTACTCGTCTTATAATAATAATAATACTTTTTATTGCCCACCAAAAAAATCGCTGGAAGCGATCTCTTTCAGGCAACCTTAAGCTGGAGGAGTAAGTTTTCATAAAAACGGTAGTCGTGTACTTGCTTTGACACGTTTACATATCCATACTAATATTATAAATGTGAAAGTGTGTTTGTTTGTTTGTTTGTTTGTTTGTTTGTTTGTCTTTCTTTCACATCGAAACGGTTTGGCGGATTGGCGTAATTTTTTGTGTGGAGATAGTTGGAGGGCTGGAGAGTGACATAGGCTACTTTTTACCGCGACAGATTATCTAATTCTCTCGGAAAAATACAAATAACACAATCCTAAAAAAAAATTTCATCAGAATTACTTGAAACTTGGTATTAATGCTCTGCAATAAAATTAAATAAATACGTGTTATAGCATTTTTCGAAATTCATCCTATAAGGGAGTAAAATAGTGGATGAAAGTTTATACGAAACTATCTTTTGGAGATTTTTTTGTAGTTTTAGCGCGAGCGAAGCCGCGGGGTCTGCTAGTTCGTTTATATTTATTTAAACGTCTATCCATAATAGAATATCTGTAGTGAATGAAAATAGCCACTTTTGCAGAGGCGAATTACCAGCAAAGTGCTTTTAATGTTTTTGATAGTAAATAAAACTATAAATAAAATATTTATTTGAGTATTTTCATGTACTCGTAGGTATGCATCAGTATACATAAACTATGCATTTTAAATAAAACTATCTTTTCGGATTATTTCGCGGATTTATTTTGATTTTTGGTTTCCGACGTTTCGAATGCTTTACAGTAATCATGGTCACGGGAGAGACTAAAGTTATAGACTCTCAAACGCATACTTGTTACAGTGTTATTAGGAAATAATCCGAAAAGTTAGTTGTATTTAAAACTAGCATTGATCGCGGCTCCGCCCGCGTTCAGATGACTAAATACCAAATTCTTACGTTTTACAAATTAATGTACCCTTTCATTGCAGTTTTTGCATTTTTTCTCAGAAATGAGATATTTTCCTAAGGTAAAAAGTATCCTATATCAATTCCTCCAGTGGTTTTTCTATGATGCGGTAACAGACAGACAGACAAAAAGTTTAAAAACCATAGATTCGGCCTCTGTATCGATAATAATGTCTATTTCAATAAGATTTTCCAAAAAAATATCTAATATACAGATTAGATGCTTACATTACGGCTTAATTACAATTTTATTGTATGTACCTATAGGTAGATGTCAAATATTCGCGCAAATCTAAGAAAGTATTACGTACATATAAATTTAATTATTATAAGACAAACCTTAAGGTCTGCTCTGTTCAATAAAAGAAAATCATGAGACAGTTTAAACGAATTAAGTACCCCCTGCCTTTGGAAGTCGGTAAAACCATTAGCTTTTTCAGCACAGTACACGTACATCATGTAAATGTTCTATGGTATAGTTTTCAATATGCATCCATTAAATGGATTTTACGGTACATCGTCATCTGCTTTTTATGGCGCGGAAGTTTACCCGATATCGATAAAATATACCAGTGTTAATAGTTATAATGCTTTAGTCGTGAAATATTACAGTATATTATTAGATTCCTTCCACCTGTATGCTTATTTTTAGACGTCTGTTGCGTTTTTCTTCATTTCTTGGTTGATTCCCCATACAAACTTTCATCCACATTTTCACCCCCTTGAGGAATGATTTCCGGGATAAAAAGTATCCTAAGTCCTTCTCAAGGTCTCAAACTATCTTCTTACTAAATTTCATCTAAATCGGTTCAGTAGATCTAGAGATTACCCCCCTACAACGTCACAAGCTCACAATTCACAAACTTTACCTCTTTATTATATTAGTATACTTATACTTTTTATCGTGTTGACTCAGGACCTTGATTTTTATACAGCTAATATCGACTATAGACGTCAATATCTGGTATAAATTTCAACTTGCTAGGTCCACCCTTTCCTGAGAAAATCTGTGGTGACATACGGACAGACAGATGGATGGAAAAGAGAGTGAACTTATAAGGGTTTCTTTTTTACCTTTTGAGGTACGAAACTCTCAAAAAGACAAGGGAAATTAGAAAAGCATTACTATGCCCTCTTTATCGACCCTGCAAAGGAAGGAAACTGAAGAAGAGACGAGAAGCAAAAGAACTTAACTGGTAATATTTATCTAACCTGAGTGTAAGTCATCCAGCAGCATGGCTCAACCTGGTTCGCATCAAGGCCCCAGAACTCCAGTTCTTCTTCAAACAGCGGTCCGCAGACGTCCGTCGGGTAATGAAGCTTACCCGTCCTACGAAATATAGGAAATGTTTTATAACATTACTAAATGATTTAGGAATACATAGAGGATTTTTTGGGCCAGGTTCATTTTCAGGCGTACGCAGAAAAAAATCACCAAAGTTTCATCAAAATCGGATGAATTTTCGAGAAACATATAGAGGATTCGTTCAGATGACCAAAAACCAAATTCTTAGGTTTTACATACTAGTATACACTTACATTGCAGTTTTTGTATTTTTTCTTAGAAATGAGAAATTTTCCCACTGTAAAAAGTATCCTATATGTTGACCAGGATAACCAGCTATCACCATATCAAATTTCATGAAAATCCCTCCAGTGGATTTTCGGCGATGCGGTAACAGACAGACAGACATACAGACAGACAAAAATTCTAAAAACTATAGATTCGGCCTCTGTATCGATAATATTATTTTGTCTATTTCAATAAGATTTCCCAAAAAATATTTAATGTACAGATTCAGCTTCGTTATAATTTTATCATATGCACAAACATGCACAGACACATTAACTTTTATTTATATACTCGTAGATAGGTTAAATAAAAATCTAAAATGTTTCATACATTAAGTTTGTATTACACCAATATTATATTATGCTTATTATGCATTTTATGAAAGATTATGAGTATTTATGCACAAATATATGTTGTACTCATTGTGCATGTTCTTATTACTTGCCTATGCTGCCATATTTGAATATATATAATATATATATATATATATATATATATATATATATATATATATATATATATATATATTTATATATATATAGGTAACCTAATACATCGATAAATACATTAAATCTTATCTTGGATATAAACTATCTAGCTTATGAAATTTGTATTTTTTTCAAATTGTTATACAACTTTTGTTTATATTAAAGAAATTATTTCAGCTTTAACAGAGAGAATAGTTCCACCTTTTTATAAAGCATATAACTTAAAAATGAACTTTATTATACAACTTGAAAAAAACTTCATAAAGCTCTATATTCTAGTACCAAGTAAACTAAAAGAGCTTTTGAAACAAAGTAATCTATATGTTAATGTACACTTTGCAGCTTTGCAATGGAACAAGGTGTTTTATCTCCACCAATGAAAAATGAAACAAGTCCATATACGTCTTTCTAGCAATACTGTTGATACCGTCTGTTCTGTATCTATACTGCTATTATAAAAAGAAAAAAATATATTTTTGTTTGTAATGGATAAACTTAAAATCCGCTGAACTGATTTAGATAGGTCTGAAGATAGTTTGAGGCTCAAGGAAGGACATAGGATAGTTTTTATCCCGGAAAATTTCCCATAACTAATGGATGGTTTGTATGGGGATTCAATAATTTTTCAAGTAAGGGATATAAAACTCCTCATATCTATGTACATATATACCTAATATATAACCCATATATTATTTATTTTATTTATTTATTTATCTATTTTTTATATTTATAAGCTATATATTCCATACTAAACGTTAAAACGTACTTAGGGACGAACCCGAGCAAAGCAAAGGTGAGTCGCTAGTATACTTTGTATATAATAACTTGTTCGACTATTAAATCCTTAGACTATTCTTCGACTGCAATTGTAGTAAAGCGTTTAAAACGACGGCAGCCAAAAATCGAAACTAATTCAAATTGAAAAAATCCGAAATGATAGTATATATAATTCTTCTGTGAGTGTGTATGTCACTGAACTTCTCTCAAACGACTGGACCGATTTTGATGAAATTTTTTGTGTGTGTTCAAGGGGATCTGAGAATGGTTTAGATTCACAATTTGAATAATAATTTTCATAAAAAAAATTATTAAAAAAAGTTTGAAATTTTCAAATTAAAGACGTGTAGACAGGACAACGTCTGTCGGGTCCGCTAGTTGTTAAAAATTTTTATATTATAGTTTTTAAGTTGTTTATACAATAAAATATATATATACAACTTTTTATAATTAACAAGGTTCTATCAAGTTGTCAGTATGGAAAGAATATATTATTACTAGCGGACCCGACAGACGTTGTCCTGTCTACACGTCATTAATTTGAAAATTTCAAACTTTTTTTTATATATTTTTTGATGAAAATTATTATTCAAATTGTGAATCTAAACCATTCCCAGATCCCCTTGAACACACACAAAAAATTTCATCAAAAGCGGTCCAGTCGTTTGAGAGAAGTTCAGTGACATACACACTCACAGAAGAATTATATATATAAAGATATATCATTTGTCAGACAATAAGAACGGTTACCATGGCAACAATTAGTCATAATAGCTTTTATTTAATTTATGCACATTCATCTCACAGTAATAAATATTAATTTTTATAAGTATTAATTATTATAAATTTTTTAATAATAAATAATTATTTTTATAAATAAAAATTATTATAAAAATATAGGTTTTTTTTTTATTTTAATAATAAATTTGACTCTCAGATCCGCGACTAAAGAAGTTTTACTTCAAAAAGAAAACAAATTGAGTATTAAGAAGTAATCTCTATAGTATATAGTTTATTCAATACTTAAAGACGCGAGACTTTGATACCATGAAATGGAGTAAAATAGTGCTATTTCTAAGTTCCTTTACTTACCCTTCTCAGGATGTCACGAATTTATTTGTAAAATTGTATTGTTTTATAATATTCATAACCCCACGTTCTAATCTTTTTGTTTCTTTCAAACCTCTTTTATATAAAGCTTCCAACAATGTTTCCAACTTAGATTACAAGAATCTTTTGTTGCCCAGAACACAACGACATTTCTCTAACAAGTAGCAAAAGCGAATATTTTCATAATACAAGAGCTTGAATATAATATTGTATTTCAGATTGTTATGTTATTTTCAGTATTACTCAAAGGTTATGCGTGGTAAGTTGTGATAAGTTCTTTAAGAACTGGACATGAAAATGCTATAAGCAATATGAAAAAATAATATCCCATATAGAAGAATTTATTTGTGAGCATCGATATTGTAACGAATTTTCAATGTGGTTTGCAGTCAATTCGCTCGTTTTACTCTTACCAAAGGATTGAATTGAATTCTTATCATACTACATATTATATATTGAATTCTTATGATATTAAAAACTAAGTTGTATCCATATAAATACTAAGAGACACAGTAATAATTAAATTAAATTTCGATTATTCAAATATTTTGCCTAAAAAGTTTTTTTTATTGTTGGGAAATGCATTTACGCATATCACATGTATACACATAGGTTTTATGGGAGTTACAGGCCAGAAAAGCTAGTACTACCCACTAAAACATAACAGAATCTCCCCTCGCTTACGAAGTCAACCACGACAACCCGACGGCAGGCATGCCGAAGCAGACCACAACAAAAAGGTTTGTGGTCCTAAAATGTGCCACGAGAATCCCATGGGAATCCTTTTTTATGTTCCGAGTGTAATTTTATGGACTAACCATGAAATAGTAAAAAATAGACGGACAAACGTACTTTTGCTGTTTTGCTTGTGCATATTTCAAACCCAAGGGACCTTTGTATAATTTTATTTATACCAGTATTCGCCTAGTGATCGAAATAAGACCACAATGCTTATTAAATATTTGATACAAACAAAAAAAATTCTCTATCTATATAAAAAAATACATTTTCCACTTTTTTTTGTTGATGAACACTAATGGTTGTAATAGCTACTTTAAAAAAAAATCGGTTGACAAACAGAAGAGTAAAAGGTGCTGGACTGTTTTATCTTTACCTATTTATATATGTACTAGCATTGCCCGCGGCTCCGCTCGCGTTCAGATGACCAAAAACCAAATTCTTAGGTTCTACATATTAGTTTACTCTTACCTTGCAGTTTTTGTATTTTTTCTCAGAAATGAGATATTTTCTCGCGGTAAAAAGTATCCTTTATGTTGACCCGGATAACCAGCTATCGTCATACCAAGTTTCTTCAAAATCGCTCCGGTGGTTTTTCCGTGATGTGGTAATAGACAGACAGACAAAAATTCTAAAAACTATAGATTCGGCCTCTGTATCGATTAATCTATTTCAATAAGATTTTCCAAAAAATAATTCGGCTTAGTTACATTTTTATTATATGTATCCTCAATTATTTTGAGCATCCCAAGTTTAAAGTTCAAAGTTTGACATTAATTAATCCTGTTATTTGTTCCGTTATGGTAATAGGGTGTAATGGGTCCTTTATCTGTGCTATATCCGCGCTTAATCCAACGAAATGTTGACTCAGATTAATTACCGGAGTCCTAAAGGTAAATTATTATCGTACTTTCTTAATTTTGTTTGGTATGTAAATGCTTATTTCTAGTCTCCCTTTTCTTTAAACAACTCAGTGATAACGCGCTTATTTGGAAATCCTTGTGAAGCAGGTTCGAATCCCGAGTCTCGCTCCTCTGATTGTCATGTGTGAATCATTTTCAACAATGCCATTTGCCTTATGGTGAAGTAAAACATTATGAGGAAACCTGCATGCTTGTGAGAATTTTTTTTTAAAAATATGTGAAGTCCAAGAAGTGCCATATTCGCCATCGTATTAAAGGGTGTCCCGTGCCCGTTAAAAAAGGGCTAAATAAATATAAAAAAGGAAGGCAATAATAATATTTTATTGCAACTAAAAAAAACCTGAGTGTTTTTCTTAATAGGGGTCAAATATTAAAGGTGGAGTTGGTACTTTGTTTTTAAACAACATATCGTATTAGAAATGTTGCCCTATAAGATAAATAGGAGATGAAAAAACTATTGGTATATAAGTAAATTATAAACCTTAATATACGAGTATATCATTTTTCTGTACGTGTGTTTGTCACCTTACGCCTCCTAAAGGGCTGGACCGATTTGGATGATATATTGTGTGTATATTTCAATGGGCTCCTGGATGGTAAGACACATTTGGACCCGCTAGATGGAGCAGCTGTTGGTTTGTTGATTATGATCCTCTTCTAAACAACAGGGATGATTTTAATGAGATTTTTTGTGTATGTTCGAGTGGGTCCCTGCAAAGTT